GAGGAATATAAGGAATATAGAAAAGTTTATGAAAGTGTCACTCCACAATGCAATAGCAAAATATATAAATATTTTTATGTTCTTGTGAATTTATTTTGATGTTAATTACATTGTGCGAGCTGTCTCTTTAATACCGCGTGGTTTATATACATGTTGCTGCTGATTGGGCTGACATGTTTGACACACCCACCAAACAAGAGAAAACTATCTCAAACCCCGTTGCACACCGTTTCCAGGAAACATGTCGTTCAAACCGGAAACCGTAGCAAAACGTTACGCGCCGGTTGAAGCTTGAACGTGCCCCAGAACTCCACCAACCGTTGGAGAAGGGTCCGTTTCACCGTTTGTATCACTCCGCTTGCCGTATTTCTCACAGCGAGTGTCATGGTGGAGGCCCAAATCCACTAAAATTTAAAAATAACACTGTTTTTGTGTCACGGAATGTAGTTTTAAGAATTTTTTAGGCGAGAATGTACTTGTTTAGACTTCAAATATGCGGTTTGTTAATAAAGATAACGTCTATTTGAACATTAGCTTCAGTGTTTTGGGAGACGTGAGCTCCAGGGCGTCAGCGGCCATTCAGCGCTCATGAACCCGCCGAGAGCAGCCTCACCGCGGCCAGATCTTCTGGAAATCACCGCTGGCTCTGATGTCTCTATAGTGGTTAAACATGAGATATAATTCGTTTTGCGTAATTCTAATGGGCAGTCTTTGGTTTCATTAATCTATAATTTGTTTCAGAGCAAATAGTTTTGGCTGAGGGCAAAATCTCATCACGTTATATTTTATATGACTTTAATGCTGTATTTCAGAGCGCTGTCTTTGTACTTTTGACTGAATTGCCTTAGCAACTTTTATGATGGCTGTTGTTGTTGTTTATTAAATATTATTATTCAACAAATAACATTTTATATAAATAGTAGTATATAGTGTTTTGTGTTCGTGATGGTGATGGTGAGTCCCGCAGTAAAGACTTTTATGTTGAAAGAGACTGAAACGCTGTTGTAAACAAGGAAGTTCTTTTTACTTTCAACAACAGCTTGTAAGACGCAGTTAACAAATGCAGTGTCATCAGAAATCAGAATAGTATGACAAAGATATGGCTTTCCTTAGCGGAGATTCAAACTCATGTTTTATATGAGATTGATCTGAAGAATGAATGCTGTATCAGATGCAGGTAATCTCACTCTCAGTCCATCTCTCTCATCATACAGTGAGCTTTAATACAGTAATACAATAAACTTTCAATGAAGCAACTCAACGTTCCTTCGTTACTAAAGTTCTAAAGTGACGTTCTGGAATTAGTAACGGATCTTGAGCTCAGCTGTTAAACTGGCAAACTGAGATTTGAATCTGTGGCGGAAGGAAGTAGTTCTGCACAAAAGAGGGTTTTTAAAGACACTCCGTTGTTGTTTCTTATGTATTTACACACTCGTGCCGTCGAACTGTTGTATAAACACAATATCACACTCGTAGCCGTGCGATAAGGCTGTGTATCAGCACAAATATGATTACCTATGGCCGAACCACAGCCGTGCCGATATACAGCCATATTTCACGTCTACTCGTGGTATATTGCTTATATATATATATATATATATATACATTTTAGTTTTGAATAAAATATTTGTTTTTAATTAATATTTTAAATTTAGTACAAGTTTTAGTAATTTTGTTGTGTTTTTGTCATTTCTATTAGTGTTTTTTAATGTGTTTATATAGTTTTTATTAATTTATTTTTATTTTTAGTTATTTTAGTACATAAAGTTAAATTAAATAAAAACAATAAATGTTGCTTTATTGGCAACTACCTGAAATAAAGTAGGTTTATTTTACATTTTATTTTGAAAAAAATATTTATTTTTTAATTATTAATATTTTAAACTTTTTTTTTTTTTTTTTGGCATTTTTAATATTATTTTTTTTAATTGTCTAAATATTTATTATTTTGTATTTCAATTTTAGTTATTTTAGTACATCAAACTAAATGAAAATGAGAATGTTTTTTATTTTTTTTTTTATTTTATTAGAGTTAAAGGGATAGTTCACCCAAAAAAAGAAAATTTGATGTTTATTTCGGCATCCGGTGCGTGAGGTGTGTACGCGCTCTGGCGTAAGCAGATAAACATCAAATTTTCATTTTTGGGTGAACTATCCCTTTAACGTTTATTTTATTTCTAGTAACATTTTTAAAAAAATTTTTGAAACATATTTTTTTCATTAGCAGCGTTAGTGCGTGAACTTCAGAGCATGATGGACGTCCTGCACTGACAATAACATCTGCATACAGATGATTGACAGCTGATATAGACTGTGACGACACTTTAAAGGGGTCATATGATGCGATTTCATTTTTTCCTTTCTCTTTAGAGTGTTACAAGCTCTTGGTGCATAAAGAAGATCTGTAAAGTTGCAAAGACTAAAGTCTCAAATCCAAAGAGATATTCTTTATACAGTATGTGGAAAATAATGTGTTTTTTTAACTTTAAACCGCATAAACACATTTCATTACACCAAATACACAAAATAATGTTCTTTTTAGCAGCATCATATGACCCCTTTAATTAAAATGTCCAAATCAAATCATCTCTATGACTTTAATTGTGATGAAGCCACCATCACACACACACACACACACACACACACATCTATAGATCTCATAGACAACTCCAGTTCATCAGGAGAGGGATTTGCAAGTTAAAGGTGACATATTATGCCCCTTTTTACAATATGTAATATAAGTCTCTGGTGTCCCCACAGTGTGTCTGTGAAGTTTCAGCTCAAAATACTCCACAGATCATTTATTATATAATTTTGAAAATGCCTATTTTGAGTGGAAGCAGAAACACGCTGTTTTTCGTGTCACCATGGCATTAGAGCTGCTACACCGTTGTCGCTTGCGAAAACACAATAACGGCGCCGTGGGTGGAAACTTACAGATTAAGAGGCGGTAATATTATAATGAGATCCCTTTGCCACGTCACCAAGGGAGCGAAATCTAACTCGCTCTTTTTTTCTCAGATGCTTGCAGAAAAAGGCTTCCCAAAACAAAGTTACTGGGTTCATCTCTTTCACGTTTCCTTGCTTGGTAGATGCACTAGGGACCCGATTATAGCACTTAAAACCTGGAAAAGTCAGATTTCCATGATATGTCACCTTTAAATGTGAGCTGTGTGATGTCACTTCCTGTTTGTTGTGATCTCTGACCTGTGACCCTGTGCTCCAGGTACTCGTTCCAGGACGAGGAGGACATGTTCATGGTGGTGGATCTGCTGTTAGGAGGAGATCTGCGCTATCATCTGCAGCAGAACGTGCAGTTCACCGAGGACGCCGTCAAACTCTACCTGTGCGAGATGACGCTGGCGCTCGACTACCTGCAGAGCCAGCACATCATACACAGGTGTGTGTCAGCATTAACAACATCAGCAACACTCTAGCCAGTGTGTTTCACTCGGTTTAACTCTATAATAACACACACTCGACTCACAGAGCAAGACGTTTGAGCAGCGAGTGCGTTTGCTTTCCTTCACTATAGACTTTAGCCAGTATACATGCATATTTAATTTAGACATGAATGAACATGAGCTTTTACTTTTACATTCATGCATTTGGCAGATGCTTTTATCCAGAGCAACTTTGCTAAATGCATTCAAGCGATACAACTTTTCAGTTCACGCATTCCATGGGAATCAAACCGTTTGAGCTACATTTTCGTTCATGTCTAATTAAATATGCTGGTTGTTTTATAATTATTTGATAATGTAGTTTTTATTTTACATTTAATTGAGTTTTATTTAGCTATATTAGCTTTTTTATTGATTGTTTAGTCTGAATTTTAATTTGTTAATTTTTAAAACATTTTGTTGTGCTTTTGTCATTTTTAAAACTTTTTTTATACGTTACTATTATATTTAATTTATTTTTGTTTTTGTTTTAATTATTTGATTATTAATATTTTAAAATCTGTTATATTTTATTATGTTGTGTTTTTGTCATTTTCATTATAATTATTGTATAATGTCTATATAGTTTTTATTCATTTTTATTTCAGTTTTAGTTCTAGTTATGTTAGTTCATCAAGTTAAACTAAATAAAAATGAGAAATAGCTGAACTAATTATATATATATATACATATACACATTTTGTTTCATTTCAGTCAACATTTATTTTATTTCAAGTAAAGTATGATTTTAGTTATTTTGTCTTTTTTAAAATTTTATACATTACTATTTATATATTATATTATATTTTTATTTTAGTATTATTATTAGTGTAGACTTCCTGTGTAGACTTCCTCAATGGTGAAATGATTATTAGTCAGTAGTCTTTATAATTAACTTTATACTAAAACAATAGAAGTCTATGATGTGTGCTTATTTAGAAAGCTGTGTGTGTGTGTGTGTGTGTGAATGAGTGTATGTGTGTGTGTGTGTGTGTGTGTGTGTGTGTGAATGAGTGTATGTGTGTGTGTGTGTGTGAATGAGTGTATGTGTGTGTGTGTGTGTACTCTCTGCTCGCAGGGATTTGTTGTGTAATTGCGTGTTTAGTTCTGCGGGGCTCCTCAGGGAGACGAGAATCCTGTGCCAAATAAAATGTGTGGTTGTCTTGTTTTGGGCCCCGTCACAAATGCACTAGAACAGAACTGACAGTGAACGCAGTGGACTGAATCTCTCTCTGGCTTTGATAGCAGTGTGTGTGTTTGAGAGTGTGTATTAGGCAGTCACATTGTTTTCTCTGCGGTGGGTTTAGCTGTATGTTTCTGAAGGAGTGTTTCCTGTCTATAGTATTATTTAGTTGCGCTAAGTTGGGCAGAAGTGTTTCCTAGCAACAGTGTGTCGTGTCACGCTGCCACCGAGGTAAAATTAGTCAGAGTGGAGGATTCCTGAAATCAGGAGGGTGAGCGGAGCATCTGGAAACATCTGATAGTTCAGAGCTCATGCTGCAGGGATACTGGTGTTTGTGCTCAAGATATCAGTGATTCCTCAAATCCGGAGTCTTTAGGGGTGCTGTTGGTTTGTTTAAGATGTAGGGATGAACCCTTTTGGCGAACCACCTAGCAGCCATCCATAACACCATACAAACACCCTAGCAATGACACAGAATAACCTAGCAATCCCACAGCAACACACTAAAAACAGAAACAGCCTAGCAACCAACAGAATTCCCTAGAAACACCCTAGCAACACTCTAAAAGCATTTCAAGCACATGAACAACTGCACAACAAGTCCAAATTAATAGCAATGGCTCAAAACCACTTGGAACACCTTAGAAACCAACCTGCTAAAAAAAACACTCAGAACACCATAGCAACAGTCTAGCAATGAACAGAACAGCCTAGAAACACCATAGCAACACTCTAAAACATTTCAGGCACATGAGCAACTGCACAGCAACACCCTAGCAATTACCTAGAACACTATAGCAACGGCCTAGCAACGGCCTAGAAACACCCTAGCAACACTCTAAAATCATTTCAAACACATGAGCAACTGCACAGCAACACCCTAGCAATTACCTAGAACACTATAGCAACGGCCTAGCAACGGCCTAGAAACACCCTAGCAACACTCTAAAAGCATTTCAAGCACATGAACACAACAAGTCCAAATTAATAGCAATGTGCTCAAAACCACTTGCAACACCTTAGAAACCATCCTGCTAATCAATACACTCAGAAGACCATAGCTACAGCCTAGCAACCAACAGAACAGCCTAGAAACACCCTAGTAACATTTCAAACACAGTACTTACTTATGCAGTCGCACAACAACTTACAATTTCATAGCACTGCATTCAAAACCACACCTTGGTTACCTGCTTAAAAACACTCAGACCACCTTAGCAACAGCATAGCAACACCCTGACAAACTGGCATTGATGCACAGCACTCACGATTGATTCAGAGAGATTCAAATCAGCCATAGAGTCTGAAAGTGTCTCTGTATGATGGAGTTTCCTCTTTAAGGATGCTGTAGATTGTCTTGAAGAATGTGATGTGTTGTAATCACGTTACTGCTCTGTTTGTGTGTGTGTGTGTGTGTGTGTGTGTGTGTGTGTGTGTTTGTGTGTGTGTGTGTGTCACAGCTCTGTGTGAATTAATCCCATCATGCTCTCAGCATCATCATGACAGCAGGGGAGCGGCTCGCTGTTAATTAGCTGCGAGGGAATCAGAATGCGGCATTAGCTGGACGGGGCTTTGTTCTTAAATAGTGTGTGTGTGTGTGTGTGTGTGTGTGTGTGTGTGTGCGCGCTTGTTGTAATTAGTGAGTGTGTTGAAAGTGTGACGGCCCCCTGAGAACTGAACATTCACACAAAAGAAGGCCACCGAAGCTTTCAAAACATGATGATCTCACACACGGCTGCGAGATGCAGTCAGCGCCGCCTGCAGTCAGAGAGGACGTGACGTGTAAATAAAGTCCAGCTGTTGATGTCATGTGAACTGACGTGATGTCATGATCTCTCCACACAGGGACATCAAACCGGACAACATCCTCCTGGACGAGCAAGGTGAGCGTGTGAGTGTGTGTGTGTCTGTGTGTGTCTGTGTGTGACAGTGTGTGACTGTGTGTGTGTGTGTGTGTGTGTGTGTGTGTGTGTGTCTTGTGTGTGTGTGTGTGTGTGTGTGTGTGTGTGTGTGTGTGAAGCTCTCAGAAATGGTTCAAGGAGACGTGTGTGTGACACGAGACCCGAGGACACGCAGTTCCACTAAACATCCCTGTGATCTTGTCGTGTTCTCTTCGGTCTATTCATGATTTTCCCTTTTTAGAAAGAGGGAATTATTGGCCTGGATTGCTCTAGTAGTTCTCACATGCGTGCGTTTGAGCTTTAGCTCCGCTTCTTGTCTGGTTGTCACTCGTCTCTCTGTTGTTCTTCAGGTCACGCGCATTTAACAGACTTTAACATCGCTACCATAATCAAGGACGGCGAACGAGCCACGGCGTTAGCGGGTACAAAGCCTTACATGGGTAAGAAACACCACATCATCTACATCACAGATCCAGAACTCATTATGATAAACTCTGCACACATTTTCCACTGTTTACTTGTTATATTTTTTGGACAGCTGTTCACTGACTGACACTACTGTGCAGTTTTTTTACAGACTAATGTTTTATTGTTTCATCAACTATTTCAGTTGTCAGACTCAGTGGTTCTCAACTAGAGGGCCTCAATATGACTTAAAATTATTTAAAATAAGACAAAAACAGCATTAAACCGGGTTTCCGCCGGTCCTTCCGTGATTGATGAATGATTCTTACTTACCACAGTTGTTTGATGAACTTGTTAAAAAAAAACAAAAAACAAAAAACGGAGCGATAGAAAAAAAAACAAAAAACAAAACAAAAAAACAATAGGCACGAATGGAAACGCTAATGACAAGCTAACGAATGCTAACGCGCTGAAGATGCTCTGCACTCGTGGTTTTAGAATAAAAGCGAACGATCAAATTAATCAGATTAGGCTGATAGATAATATCAGAAATATGGTGGGAATTAAGTTTATATTTATCACTTTAAACAACAGAGAGTAATAGAGATTTTACAGAAAAACAAAGCTACACGAAGCTACAATCACAAATCAGCAGCACTGCAAACAGGAAGCAGGAATAACACTGTCCAACAGCGACACCCGCAGTCAACACATTTCCTAAGACACAAGTCTTAAAGTCTTAAATTTAGTTGTATCAAATTTAAGGCCAAAAAAAGTCTTAAATGCCTTAAATGATATGAGAAAAATCTGATTTCAAGAGGTCAATTTGGAGAATGATTGAACAGAGAATGAATTTGCATTTTCAATTAGCCCGTCTGCAGTTTTTGTTTAGACCAATGCAGAAATAATCGACCCATATTTTTACACAGCAAACACGCAGTTGTAAATGTGAACCGGTGGATCGATAACAAGCTAATATTCCTTCTAAAACAATTCAGACAGTAAGATAGTAAGATATTTATGTTTTCATTTAATATAATAACTGATATTTTGACTCATTCTTTTACTTAAAAAAACAGTTTAAAGGCTGAAATGTGACCTATCATTTTATAAAACATTTTTTTTGTGAAAACCTGTTTTTGAACTCTAAATCATGTTTTTACAGTCATTTTAAGCTTTAATATGTTACCACAGACATTGCAAGTCTTAAAAAATGTCTTAAAAAGCCTTCTGCAGATCTGCAGATACTCTGTTAAAGAAAGCTAAAAGTCTAGAAATTTCTTATTTTGATTCACCCCTTCAACAACTGTTTTATTTTTCTTTGCAGAACCAGGATTTGTTTTTTAACTGTTAACATTGGCGTTTTGTCAACAAGTCTAATTTTAATGTTTGCTAATATTTTTATTCAAAACCAATATTACTCGATTAAAAAAAAATCATGGCTAAACATTACATTTGCATTAATCAATAAAAATAAAAAAAAACACCCAGCCCTAGTAGCTAATGTGTTCTGCTTGTTTTTTTTAACATTCTGTTTTGCAGTTGCTGGGGTGTTCTAGGTGGTTGCTAGGTTGTTGTTAGTGGTTGCTAGGGTGTTCTAGGTGGTTGCTAGGTTGTTGTTAGTGGTTGCTAGGGTGTTCTAGGTGGTTGCTAGGTTGTTGTTAGTGGTTGCTAGGGTGTTCTAGGTGGTTGCTAGGTTGTGGTTAGTGGTTGCTAGGGTGTTCTAGGTGGTTGCTAGGTTGTTGTTGTTGTTAGTGGTTGCTAGGTTGTTGTTGTTAGTGGTTGCTAGGGTGTTCTTGGTGGTTGCTAGGTTGTTGTTAGTAGTTGCTAGGGTGTTCTAGGTGGTGCCGTGACATTTATATGTGGTTGCCAATGTGATCTTGGCAAACCTGGATGTAAGAGGAAGCCTCATTTTATAAGTGTGACTTCTAGACCTGGAAAAGTCACAGACATTAATCAAATCCTAAAATCTTATGATGAATATACATTTTACTAGTTATATAAAAAATCTAAAATATTTTAACACTTAGAAATTGTGAGTACAAAATATATTTTCATAACAAGTTTCCTAATCCATAATTAAGAACAACTGGGAAAGTCATGCTAGTTTATAGGTTAAAAAGAGCAGGAACCCTGGAGAACATTCAGCTCCTAAAACTTCTGGAAACCAGAAATGCACAGAAATTAAGAGTGTTCTGTATAGTTGAAGGCCTTGGAGTCAATAAGTCTGAGAACCACTGATCTAACTATGACTTGTCTTGTGTGGTAATTCTTGGTCAGAATATCTGGACCAGACTTTATCTTGTTGGCCAGAGTCTGACTGCATAGATCACATCCCATAATAATCATGGTCTGAATGCATGTGTTTCTCCCAACAGCTCCAGAGATCTTCCAGTCGTTCATGAGCGGGGGAACCGGTTATGCGTTTGAAGTGGACTGGTGGTCGCTGGGTGTGACGATCTTTGAGGTTCTGCGAAGTTGGGTACGATTTTGGTTGTTTGTTTATTTTTGGCAGAAGACAGCGTAATGAATGTCCAGAACTGCGATTCCCAAAAGCACGATCGTAGAGAGCAACGGTGGCAATAGTTTCTACGATCTACTGATGCTTACGATGGTTTTGGGAAACGCAGATTGACGAGCCACCAGTAAACCTTGTGTTTTGTACTGAAGTCTCCAGCAGGGGATGCTGATGTGCTGGGACTTAACTAGCTTAACTTCCTTGGTCAACCATCTTCACCAGCTAAGCTTTGCTGGTTTGCAACCCTAACCCTATAAACCAACTTCGACCGCTGTGCAGATTCATACAGATCTAAACGAGTCTCAGCAGGAGCCCAGCTAACAGGGAACGTTCTCATAACTTTCACTTACGTTTTTTAAAGTTATTTAAGTGTTCGGACAAAGCGCTCTTAAAGAAATGTTAATGGAACGTTCTTATAACTTTATGAATATTTGATATGCATTCTCATAATTCTTTTTTATTAACACTTGAATGTTGGTAAGTGGTTTTGAACAAAAAGCTGAAAAAATGTCATTTTTGTCAAAGACTATGTCCGAATCGGATTCAGAACGATGATCAAAACACAGATGGAGTAGATCGCTTCCATCCACACCCACAAAGCTTCACAGTCCTAAACCACTTCTTGGGTCGGCATTTCATTCGCTAACGTTAGGCTGTTGATGTTATGAGGATTGCGTTATTTTACATATGCATCTGCTTACATACCGCTTGTTTCTGCTGCTGCTTCATCTGTGTGATTCAGAACACTTTCAGATCTGTAATAGCGCCCCCTACTGTATAACAGTGAAAACACGGAGAGACAGACAATTCTGTCAATGGCAGGGAAAGAGTTAAATAGTGTTCTAATGACAAGAAAACGGTAATGTTCTTAGAATAGAATAGTAAATAACGCTATATTTTGGGTGAAGATAAAGTTAGTAAAACGCTGTAAGAAACATTTTGGTAACCTTTAAATTCGGGCTGGGCGATGATTCGATAACGATAAAACGGTAATGTTCTTAGAATAGAATAGTAAATAACGCTATATTTTGAGTGAAGATAAAGTTATTAAAACGCTGTACGAAACATTTTGGTAACCTTTAAAGAGTTCGATAAATCTTCGATATAATGTTCATGTGCCAAAAGCGGCACGAAACTGCGCGACTCATTGGAATCGCGCAACTCTCAAACCGTTTATCCGCTCGGATCAAAGTTTAAACCGAGCTCGCTAGAGCAGATGCGTTTATTCGGTCACGCGAGCACTAAACAGCGCTGTGAGATCCAGTGTGAAGCGCTTGGATTCAGCGATGAACACAAGTGATTTAAACTAGTTTAAAGCCAAACAGGAGAAACACTGTGTGCAACGAGACAGTCAGAAGGCTTTTCAATCTACACATCGCCATCATTTACCATGGATTTACTGTAGTAACACTCACTGCACCATGGTATTGTGGCAGAAATTTGGGATATTCACACTGAATTTTATTAAAAGAGTAATGTTAGGCCTATAAAATCGTAGTATGTATTTGTGATTAAGCTATAGCACGTGTGCATTTATACTGAATGTTTTTAGACTTCTGTTTTTCATATAGGCTACCTAAAAACAATATAGTTATATTTTTACCATGGTATTGAGGTGCTATATGTGTG